ACTCCTGTTTCGTGTGGTCAAGAACATGCGGTCGTGCCACATTTATGACCCGGAGTAGAAAATCATAGTTAAGAAATACAAAATAATAATGAATTAGATATTGAGCAGCTAAAATAAACTCAACGTATATTCATTACATCCATCAAAACTTGAACAACCGATGGTTATAAACTTTAAAATTACAATAACAACAGATTTAGAAAATAAGAATCAATATTTTCGGTTGTATCAACGGATTGTCACTCGATATCACTTCCCTGACCCGACTCAGGTCTCATTATCTATACTTGCCATGTCGTAAAACAAAACACGACTTAACTACTGCCATTTTATAATATAAACCATGACGTATGAAAACGACATAATAAAATAAGATATCAGCATGTGAATCATCAAACAACTCTTAGATCAACTAATTATTTCAATCGCAAATCGAATAATAAAGTAACATCTTAAAAATCAACATTCGTGTGTTGCAATCTTCCAAGGAACGGCTCGTTTCCAATTAAAATTCATGACTCGAAAAATACTACCGGAGTACTTCAGTTCATATCACCCAAAAGGGTTATTCTAAAGCAACAAAAACCAAATACACATGTGGTTATGGAGCTTTACCTATACTTCAGGACATTTGTGATTATCTAAAAGCTAGTTAGGGGGCCGTTTACCAAACACTTATCCGGTAAACGCTTACCGGTAAAATTTTGCACTACCAGTTACTTACAAGGTAAGACTCTCGATCATTGTCTTCCTCTTACCAGGTAAGATTCTTGGTATTTACCATATTCATCCAATAAGGTAATATGACTTGATAAACAACCCCTTAACGAGTATAAGTTGCGTAATAAAAAAATGACACCTTTTCGATATAAATATATGTATGTCACGATATTCCGGATATAATTTTAGTTACCTGTCACCATCATCAAATTACAACGGCTATATATGTATTATTTTTTAGTTCATTGAAAATTACAATAATTTGTTTTATATTTAAAAAATAAATAAGCTGAGCTTCTTCGGGCCCTGACCATTGTCCAAAAGAGACAAAACATATGCGTGTCTTCTACACTTTCACCGCAAATAAACATCAATAAATTTTAGATAAGTTATGGATTTGGTCCTTTGGGTTTTTTTTTTTTTTTGAAATTGGTCTCCTCATTTTATTTATTACGGAAAACACCTTATGACATGCATTTTTTAATCGATTTGGTCCTTGAGAACGTTTTCGTGTTATATATTTTTTTCTCCACTCTAATGTTAAAGGTTTTGTCATTTTTTATATTTTGTCATCTTTAATCACCAATTAAATGATGTCATGTGGCATGAAATTTATAATTAAAAAAAAACCCTCTCATCTTCCTTAATTTTCCAATGAAATTTGCGGTGAGCTTTGAACAATGGTTGGAGCACGGGGGCGAATGAGTTGTGGCTGGTGAACACAGGAATGGTGGGGGCGGTGCAGTATCACACTTGGAGATGGTGGTATAAGAAGAAGGAGGTGGTGATGAATGGAAAGAAGGAATGCTAGTAGTGGAGGATGAATAACTAGAGAGACTACAATCAAAGCTTGAATCACAGTGATTCATGGACGTTGCTTGCAGTAGGAATATGGGCATTGGTTAGAAGCAAAGGGATGACGAGAAATGTGAAGAGGCTGGTAGTGGGATGCAGGGCCGATCCTTGCATCAAAGCCTAAAGGGGCATCAAGTTGTCATCTATAACTAGTTTTGGGCTTAATAGTTTGTAAAAACCAGCATACCATAGAGACCAAATCCGTATTTACTCTAATCATAATTTAATTTTTTTTAAAATAAAATCTTAAAGAAAGTAATTGTATTTGTTAATATAAAATTTTATTAAATAAACGAAAATGAGAGACTAGCATTATGTTTTAATTAAAAAATCCAAGATTTATGTCATATTAATAAGGTTTTACGTTTATTATGTATTGATTAATATGTTAATCAATTTCTTTCAAACGTAATTTCAACAAGTTATACATTAAAGTAATAAATTTTAAATTTGAATTATAGACGATGATATGGTATATGAGTTGTTTTTATTTTTTATTTGCCAAATGCGTAATAATGTAGTATAAATTACGTTTTAATAATATAAAAAATATATGTATTATTAAATAATCAGAAAAGAGAGAGAAAGAAAAACGCATTGGCAAAAGTAGTGAGGTAAGAAAGACTTTATAGACTAATCAATCATATGGTTCACCAAACAAATTGACAGAGTGGGTTTTGGTTGGCCAAACAAATAATCAACTGGTACTTGCGTTGCATTCACAAACAATTACTTTTTTATTTCAATTTTTCCTTATAAATATATTTTAAGAAAAATTATATCTCGTAAAAATTAAAAACAATCTTTTATATTTAAATTCTTTTTTTCTAATCACTATAAAGTAGTAAAACACTTTCATATTTTTAATATAAATTTTTAGAAATATGATTTTGGATATTTTGATGTTATCAATAGTTATATATACATCTATACACCTAATAAATAAGTGATTTTGGGGACACATGTCATGTTTCTGTGCGACGGTTATTGATTTTTTCCGCCTAAACATGTATCTAGACACAATTTTCACTTACGGTTCAAATATGTCTATTTAAATGACATTTGTCCATCTACACGTTTATTTTCCTATTTTCGTGGTTTAACTGAATTTAATTCTGAAGTGGTCATCAAAATCGGGTTTAAATTTGAAATTCGGATTTTTGAAGCATTTTCATAAAGCAATATTACTTTGCCCCTTGGACCCCGCCTCCGAACCCCCGTCATTTAGGGGCTTTGCCCCTAAATCAAAATAAACTCAAGCAAGTTTCCACTCCGCACATTCCTTACTTGTTCGATATTTATCATAATTACATTTGTCAACAATTTAATCTCATTACACTTAAATGACATTAGTGATACAAATCACCAACATGAAGTCATTAGATATTGGTCATTTCTTAGACTTACAACATAACTCTGAATTGTTTTGTTCAATACTTAGTTATATAATTTATTGTCAGACTTATAATACAACTCCGAACTCCTCTTCAGAGTTGAAGTTCAGAGTTATGTTTGTGAGTTATAAAAAGTCAGAATTCTTGTGACTCAGAATTCTGCTCGTAGATATTTTCAAAACTTAGAAGACAACTCTGAATTCCTCTTATTCAGAGTTAAGTCCAGAGTTATTTTCCAATCTAACAATAGAACTCTGAATTCTTATGTTTCAGAGTTAATATCCAAAGTTTTTCTCATTTAAAATACTTCGTGTAATACACGGTGTCGAACATAGTATATATATATATATATATATATATATATATATATATATATACAGGATTGAGTTCACATGAAACCAATCTGTCTTTATGATACCACATTTTTACAATCAAAACTTTACAGCAAAATGTTGTGAAGGTATAAAAATTCCGAACATTCACAGCAAGAACGTTGTGAATATTATTTTCACAATGATTTTGCTGTGAAGTTTCAAATGTAAAAAATTGTATCACGCGAACAACATGTCCTACAACCTAGGTTGCGCCAAAGATCATTTGTATCTCTGGTTTAGTATTGCATGTGATGTATTATAGTATCACATTAAACACACTCTTATCAGATGTGATAATACACTTGAGGAGATCTAGTGGTATACGAGTGATTTGACCCGCAGATCTCTTATTTAGTATCACATGTGTATTATATGTGATAAAATTTAATATCACATGTGTATTACTATAGTAAAAAGGTGTTATCGCATTCTTGTAAAATAAAAACTTTATCATTTGAACATTTCCCTACTCTCACATAGTAAGGTGCCCGTCCGGTGCTATAATGTGCATCTTCATTTAAAACCGATATCTTAAAATGTCAATCATGTTTTATTTTTGTTATTTTTCTGTCTGTCCTGATTCTAGTTGTATACATGTACAATGTGATTTAGTGTAAATTTTGAATAAATGTAAGATTTGTAAACCTAATATTTTTTTTGAATGACCTGTTCAATATATAGATTAGTATACTTGATATTTTTCAATAATAACCGTTATACATGCTTATTAATACAATGATTTAAGATTCGTACTTATTTATGATACTTTATAATATTATTAAATCCATAAATAGTTAATCTATTATTATGTATTTTTAATATGCTAAAAGTGTAAAATTAAAGCGTAAGGATGTAAAACAAACTAATTCGTAAATATTCATGATACTAATAATATGATTAAATCACAAAAATATTCAATCTTAAACTCATTTTGAAGGTATTAACGAGACGATTATAATTGTATAATTTGTAAAAAAAAGTATTTTTTAATGTATTTTTGTTCATATAAGATTATTTATGTTAATATGACAATAGTGTAAAATAAATAAATAAAAAAGTAAGTGATATAAAACAAGGCAAAGGATCATGTGAGAAAGGAAATTACGATGAAAAACATAAGAAAAAATCTGAACCCTTGATCATTTTTAATCTCATACTCACACATGAATTGCGTTTTATATGACAATTGATCTGATGCATCCCCATGCAACTCATTAGTGTTGATATTCAATTACAATTGATCGAAAAATGAAAATCTTTTTTTACGCTTCTCACCTCGATCCCATAAAACAAATTAAATAAACAATCATAAGTACATAAAAAAATTAAAAATGATTCAGAGTTTAATATGATAAGACGTGAAAGGTTGTAAAGCTTTAAAAATTTATATATTAACCTTATAAATTAGTAGCTCTTAAAATAACCTCTATTTTATAAAGAAGTAGAGATATTTTCATAATTAAAATATTTTTTTAATAAAAATGAAATATAATATTTATAGTTATACCATGAAAAACAATATTTGAGAAAGTTGATCTGCTCGGAAGTCGAAACCAACGAAGTGGGGTCATTCCAAGCAAAACCCAGCTGTTATTTTATTCTTTCTCTTCAATATCTTTGAACCCTTCTTTCTCTTGCCAAGATCTGGTTTTCTATCTCTTCCTTCTTCTCTTTTGTTTTCTGTTGTATACATGCCAAAACCCATCGCCTTCTGATTGCAGTACAGCCTTCAACAAGCTCTCCAAGATCCAAATTCATTTACTCGTAAGTTTTCCCAATTTTGAATTTCTCTTCAACGTCAGTATCAGATGTTTGTATGTGGATCTTTCTGTTTAAAAAGCTCTTCATCATTTCATTTGGATCCTGTCAATTTCTCAAGTTTAAACTGCAATTTGGACTCTGTGTGTATAATTTATGATTTCTTTGCTTGAAGTTTTTTTCGTCAATTCACATCGATATTGCGTAATTTCTTGGATCTTGCCATTTTCAAGTACTTTTAATCCTTTTATCAGTCTTTTTGGTTCTTCTCTTCCATTTCTTGATGTTCTTCTTCAATTGAAATTTGGGTGTTGCATAGTTTCTTGAATTTTCCATCGAATTAACGAATTTGACCCTGAATAAGATTTGATTTTGGACTCATGGATGAGTTTAGGGTTCAAATTCTTTCCACATTATTGTGTAATACAATCTGGGAAAGCATTGATCGTTTGACCTTTAAAGTCAAAGGGACTGATATTCAACTTCAAAATGATATGAATTATTTGAATTTTCAAGAAAATTTTGATATGCACACCAAGAATTATAAGATTACCAAAAATAGAAGGATATATGACCTAATTTTTATATAACATTGGGTTAAAAATATGGTGAATTTGATAATTTGCAGGCAGGCTATTCGGTGGATGATACTGTAATGGGGAGGAAAGGCAACTGGTTATCTTCCATTAAAAAAGCTTTGAGTCCCAGCTCAAAAGAAAAGAGAAGCCAGGTTCGACACCAATATGATCAGATCATTGAATTTCTATGGCAAGAATCGTACTTAATTTGCTACACTTTTTGTTATTTAATTATAGAAATCAAGGAAGAATGCGTTTGCGGATGAAAAAGCTTCAGAACCACCTGTTGCTTCCATTGCAGAACCTGTTAATTCTCATCAGCTTCCTCCACCAGAAGAAGTGAAACCAATTGAGGTGGAGGATGAGCAGCAGACAAAACACGCTTATTCCGTTGCAGTTGCTGCCGCTGCCGCTGCTGAAGCTGCTGTGGCAGCTGAAGCTGCTGCCACCGCAGCTCAGGCTGCTGCTGAGTCTGTTCGACTTGCAGAGTTGACTCGGTATTCAGGAAAATCAAAGGAGGAAGTAGCTGGTATCAAAATTCAAACGGCTTTTCGAGGGTATTTGGTATGTTACTGTTGCATCCGAAAAAGTTTATCCAGTTTAAGTGATCTAAATAGTTGTTAATTACTGGTTCTTCTTTGCAGGCAAGGAGGGCATTGCGAGCATTACGAGGGCTTGTGAGATTAAAAACACTGGTCGAAGGTCCTGCTGTTAAACGGCAAACAACAAACACACTCAAATGCATGCAAAACTTATCTCGTGTGCAGTCTCAAATCAATTCTAGAAGGATCAGGATGTCGGAGGAGAATCAGGCGCTTCAAAAACAACTCCTTCAGAAACGGGCAAAAGAAATCGAGAGCTTGCAGGTTAATTTGATGTTTCATTCGTGAATTAATGCTTTGCAGCAACGGCTGTTGTGGATCTGTAAAGGATCTTTTAGTTACTACTATTGATGCGTATAATGTTTTAACAGATGGGAGATGAATGGAACGATAGCCTGCAGTCGAAAGAAGAGATCGAGGCAAAGCTATTGAGCAAATACGAAGCTACTATGAGAAGAGAAAGGGCAATGGCATATTCGTTTTCTCATCAGGTAACATCATTTGTTTGTGCAAAATGTCGTATTTTTTTGTCTTTGTAAAAACTATGAGAATATGTAGAGCCCCATTAGATTATTCTCCAAAAGAGCCCTTGACGCGAGGTTCCAACATATATCAAGGAGAAATAGTCCAAGTATAGCTGATGTGGTTTATGCTTGTTTTATATGCCCTGAATTCGAATTAGGATGTTATCATAGCATTGGATCACTGCTCATTGGTAATTTCTTTGAAACAGCAACCATGGAAGAAGTCATCGAGGGCGACGAACTTGCTCTTCATGGATCCCACGAATCCTCAATGGGGTTGGAGCTGGTTAGAGAGATACATGGCGGCCCGGCCATGGGAGACACGGGGCGAGAAAGACCCCGGAAACGATCATGCATCCGTTAGAAGTGGTGGTATCAGCATCACTGGGAGCGAAATTGCAAAGTCGTATGCCCGTCACCAACTTAACTCCACACCTTCAACCCCTCAGTCAAAAGCAGGCATTCCTATTGGCTCACGGAAATTCAAGCCTGTTCCAAGCCCAAGAGGGTTAGGGTCTGGCCCAGATGATGACTCGAGGAGCGTTTTTAGTGTGCAGTCCGAGAAGAATAGGAGGCATAGCATTGCAGGGTCGTCGGTGAGAGATGACGAGAGCTTGGCTAGTTCTCCATCAATTCCAAGTTACATGGCACCTACTAAGTCCGCAAAGGCCAAATCACGGGGACAGAGCCCGTTAGGCCCGGTGGAGATGAACGATGGGAACACCCCGGAAAAGGGGACGGGATTGAATGCAAAGAAACGGCTTTCGTTTCCAGCATCACCAGCCAGGCCGAGGCGTCATTCGGGCCCACCGAGAGTAGGAAGCAGCGTTGCGATTGGTGTGGAGCAGAATGCAAGTACTGGTGTGGTGAGTTGAGTTGAGGGAAGAAAGTATTGTGTATTATTTAGTAAACTGGATAACTGATAAGGTCTAAATTAAGAAAAAAGTAAAAAAAAAATGATTTGTTTGTGATTTAAGTAAGTTACTTGATTGAGAGGTGAAAGGTTTAAGGTTTAAGGTTTAAGGTTTGTGTTGGAATGAATTCTTTCTTTTGTTTGTTTGTTCGTTTGTTGGTGTTTTGTGTGCATTTCAAAGTGAATGTTGATTTGATTCTCACAATTTCTTGCTGTAAAAGAAAGGGGATTTTTCTGATATTTTGTTTAGAATTACTTGTTTCACAGATCCTTGTATTAATCAAACCCTAGTTTGACATCTGAAACCCATGCAAGAAAGATAAGGGCGTGGAGATTGAACCACCTCATCGACCATCTAGTAAAGCTAAGCATGTCGCGTATTGCCCTCCAAGGAATTGGAGTAAACAGACAGTAGGAAAGTTGGATCCTGGAGCAGTGAAGTGTGTCTTTATGGCTTCGAATTTGCACCGATGACACTGGATGGCAATCGGGCCAACTTGATGCCAAGAATCGTCACACTTGAACACCAACCAAACAATAGAATGGGCATAGCAAACCAACTCTACAAGTAGCTGCAATCACTGACCAAACATTTGGAACAATCACAAAAGACAAATGAAGTTATGGGTTATGACCATCATGAGAGTGCTTGTAACTTACTCTTGATGATATTTAAGTTCATTTTACCATTTCTGCTTGATTCTTGTCTCTTTCTCTTCAGATATAATAATATAAGTGTTTTGTGTTTTGGACAGTATAGATGGCCAATGGGCCTCTTGGTCAGGTTTTTTTCTGTAAGTTGATTGCTGGAGGCTACATTCATCACGTGAGAATCAGACCGAATTACCCGCTTTTCTTTTCAGTTAGTGTCAGCTGGTTAGGGTCAATATGTGGAACCAGTTGTAGGACTGATCACAACACAGAGCCTTGACTCATGTTTTCACGTATCCCACGCATAGGTAGAGATGGAAATTTTACCTGTTAACGGGAATTTATTTTTATACCCCAAGTAGAGTCGGGGATAGAATTATCCGCTCCTAATTCAACCCTAATTAAATTTTTTAATATATATATATATATATATATATATATATGATGTGTGTATAAATAAATAGATATGTATATATGTATACATTTGTTATTAAAATGATAAATATGTTTGATTTTCAATATTGATAATTAATTTAGTGATGATCTATTATAATTTTAATTTTAAAATATTTTTTTTACAAAACAGGCATCCAACGGGTGATCCGAACCCGTTGGGGATTAACCGGGGCGGGGTTGGGGACGGGGGATACATTACCCATCTCGTTTCTATCCCTATGCACAAGTCATTATAAGAATTTTTACTTTTGCCACGTTAGCTTTCTACTAATATTTTTTTTAACAAAAATCCATTTTTACAAATCTTCTCCAATGCAAAAACTTTTTCATCTGTTACATTATAATCTATCATCATCTATTTAAAATGTTTTATAATAACCCCTCATTTAAATTGTCATTTTAAGCTCACGTCATATTTTTTGAAAACAAAAAATTACCTAACATTACAATTTAAATATTTAAAAACATTATGATAAGCACGTTTAAAAATTACTTGACATTTTCTTTTCTTTCGAAATGAAGTTTGTATTTTATTAAAAAGAGTAAACAATAAAACTAATTGATATAAAAATATAATGACAAGGACACACAAAAATCAATTCGTTAAAAAAATGAAAGACGATGAATATATTTATATGATTTTTATACCTTTTTAGGTATTCGAAATTGTTACCATTTTGAGCGCTTTGACGAGAAATTTTTAATAATGTATATGTTATAAAATATATTTGGTTTTATTATAGATGTTTAATGAATTAAATTAATTAATTAACCAAAACGTTTTAAGGTTTAAAATGAAAATTATATTGAAAGAGTCGATAGAATTATAATTTAAGGGAATAAAATAAAAATAGTTACCATTTTAATAATAGGTTGGTGTGGGATAACCTTTTGCTTAATAATCTTTTTAAAAACCTTTTTTTTCAGTTCATACCAATTTGGTACGATATTGTACCAACATCGTAAAAGTTGGCGTTAGAATTTTATTTAAATTGACATCTTTATTAACTAGATCTAGATGCACTAAAACTATAACATATTGATATGTGTTGTATCATTTATCCTCACTTATACAAACATTCAAATAATATTCATATAATATAAACATTTACTAATAGTCTACTATGAGTGGCAATGGAGGAACATTGATGGACCGTGGAAGTATGGACGAGTTACTAAGGTTATTAGGGTTAAGCGAATGATTTCAATTATATTCTATATATCTATCCATATTATAATTTAGTAAAATTAAAATTAAAATATGTTATATTACTAATTGAACTTTAATTAATAGAAAATACAAATAATAAGTTGGTATGGTACAGTATTACCATGGTACATAAGTTATAATATCACGTACTAATCAAGTTTAGATAGTTGGTACGATACTACCAACCAATTAAATTGATACCGTTGGTACGGAAATTGGTTGGTTTATCCCTATTAATTATTAATATGCATCAAATAATTAATGGTATATGAAAAACTTTAGATAAATAAAGTAATATAAAAAGAGGGAAATCACAGTTGTTTACATTCTAGATAATGCAAAGTGCTTAGCAAAATCATATAATTTTTGTTTTTTGTTAATTTTAAAGAAAGGAAAATTACCATTGGAGCATTTTACAGAACATAAACTTAATTTTTTTTATTAAATTAATAGAGTTAAATTATTTTAGCCCAATCATTTTTATAAAAAAGATGTATTTATTTGTTAAATATAATCAAGTGTAAGACAAATGTTAGTAGTATAAAAGAAGAAGATAATTAATAGAAAATTAAAAAGTTTTGGTTGATTAAATTTAAAATTTAGTCACTTTTTTACCAATAAATTTTTTATTAAACTAATAGAGTTGAATCATTTTAGCTCAATACTTTTTTGCAAAAAAATATATATATTTATCAGTTAAATATAACCAAGTATAAATGATGTGTACAATGAGGTTTGATAATTTTTCAAATCTTGGATTGTGGTGGTAAGTAGACATTATTTTTTGAAAGTGAACATTTACTCTAGGACAAACCAAAGTAAAAACAGGGACACTTATTTTGGGATGGAAGAATTATTTGTTTTTGTTATTTGTAGAAATCATTCGCTTTATAATAATGAATTATTCTCTATAGTTTTTTATATGTATTAATGATCGATTAATATTTTTTCATATTATTTATAGACTAAATTTCTCTTTACCACATTTTTTATACATATAATTCGTTATCATGCGATTTACACGTAAATTTATTTCTTAACAAAAATCGGCAGAGGTTTTATCTTCTATTTAAAAAGAAAAAAGATCATCATTAATCAGACAAACAATATATAAATTATTCACACCCTCGTCGTTATTATTATTCATTTTATTTAATTTTACAATTTTATTCTTAAACAAATACCTCTCTCTCTCTCTCTCTCTATATATATATATATATATATACACACATGTGTGTGTATTAAAATTTCACTAATTAGCTTTTATTAATTTTTTCGAATTATTTGAATGCTATTTGTTGATGATTCTATTAACAACTAACATATTTATACATACAATTTTCGAATTATTAACCAAAATATTCATGTTATCGTACAACACGCAGTTTCCACACTAATACTTGCTTAGGGACCGTTTACCAAACACTTACCAGGTAAGTGTTTATCGGTAAAGTTTAACATTATCATTTATTTACCGGGTAAGATTTTAGTTCACAAAAACGGTATTGTGTTCAACAATTTACCATGTAAACTCTTACAATGGTAAGAGTCGTCATCTCACTTATCGGGCAAAACTCTTGGTCCTTGTCTCACTCTAACCGGGTAAGATTTTTGATTCTTACTATATTTATCCGATAAGATAATATGACTTATATTCACTTACCCGATTAATCGTTTGGTAAACGACCCCTTAAATTTAATCTATGGATCATTTTATAAAAAATGAATTTTGTAATTGAAATAATTATTTTTGGATGAAGATAGTCGTCCCGTTTTACAATGCGATGCCATTAATGTTTTGGTACAAAGTGTATTTATTATGCTCCCCTCTACGGACAAGACTTACTTTGTGGGCCAACCCCTATCCCCGTAATTTACGATTTTCTTTATCTAAATAGATGATAATTATGGTTGTTTAACAAATGTTTATCGGTAAATTTTAACATTATTATTTATTTATCAGGTAAGATTTTAGTTCATTAAAACGACATTGTATGTAATAATTTATCCGGTAAGTGCTTACCGGTAAACTTTAACACTATTATTACTTACGGGTAAGATTTTAGTTCACCAAAACGACATTGTATGCAACAATTTACCTAGTAAGCGCTTACTTTGGTAAGAATCGTCGCCCTCACTTACCGGGTAAGACTCATGGTCCTTGTCTCGTTCTTACCGGGTAAAATTTTTTGTTCTTACCATATTCATCCGGTGAGATAATGTGACTTGATAAGTGATTACCCAGACAAATGTTTGGTAAACGGCCCCTAATTTTACAATTTTCTTTATCCAAATAGGTGATAACTAAATGATTTACTTAGCATGTAGCAAATAAAAATTTTAAGTAAAACTTTCTAACATCAATCATTAATTGAAAACAATTATAGTTATAGAGTTCTTAGTAAAAATAATTGTACAGTATAGTTTATGAAAATGTTTTGAATAACGTGATATATGTTTGTATATAAAGTTCTATTATGATTTTACGTTATCGTGCTGAAATGTTTTTCGATATTTTAGCATAAAAAGCATAATCTCGTTTTAATCAATCGTTACAAGGCGATGGATTCATAATGAAAGCACCTTTAGGTAGAAGTCGTTTATCGACAGCCTCGATGTTGTGTGAAAGAGTGGCGGGAATGATTGGGCTAATTAATGAAGCAAAGTAGAAAGTAGCAATGGAGATAAAATGTTTAACTCAATATTGAGTAAACTTTAGTGATTTAATTTCTTAGATCATTTCGAATCTTAGTTCTTATATTTTAAGCTCATGTAATAAATGAAATGTATTTAAATTAGTGTGAAGAGCAAACTGATATATTGTTACTCCAATCATGTTCTCTACATTAACAAATAGACATTAATTTAATTTTATATATATATATATATATATATAT